TGTGTAATTTCAGACTTCAAATAGGAGAGATGTACTCTTTGAGGCATATCTATGACATGTTGCAGTGTATATAGTAATACCTCCCCAATTATATCATCCTGCTGCTTTAGATCTAGCAGATAAGACATCTGCAGAACTTACATTTGGTAGGCTCTATGCAGTGGGCCTTATCCACCATGGTGCTCACCTTATGGAACTTTCTCTCCACACACACACCAAAATTAGGTTAGTTCCATCCCTCTCAATGTTCTGAAAGTCCCTCAACATCTGGCTATGTTCCCAAGCTTTGGGATCTTAGAGAACTATAGATGTGTTTTAATGGCTCCCCTACTGTGGATATATTCTCTCTCAGGTTAGGATTTAATAGTAATTAAACTTCTATTTTTTAATATTTGTTTTTATGTATATTGTTTTTTGCCATACCCCCGTCGCTTCTTGTGAGATGGGCAGCTATATAAATTTGATAAACAAACATACTCCATTCCAAAGACCGAATGTGATTTTTCACCCACAGGCTTGCTATTGGGTGTGAGGCAAGCACATTTCTTTCAACGTTTGATAGGGTGAGAATGTGCAGTAGGAAATGTGAGCAGGAATCTGGGAGGAAGCAACTTTGAGTGCTGCCAGATTTGGGGAGAAGCATAAATCATCCCCATGGCTTAGAAAGGCTGCCTCTGCTGGGATGCAAAATGCAGAAAGAAACAAACACGATCACCTTGGCCAATGCAATGAAACAAAATGATGGATGCTGCTATCTGTGGCACAATGAACTAGAGATACTTGCCTATTGCTTCATTGCTCCATAGTAACAAGCCTGCTTAGTATCGTTTCAATGATTATTTAGAAACTTATCCTAGCCAAATTGATATCTGGAGAAGCATCACGCAATTGTTTAAGATCAACCATAAAATGACAGCAGTCAGATTAAAAGAGGCTTAGCAGTAGCCATGCTCACAAAAAGGTAGGTGAAGGTTGCCAAATAATCTGTGTTAAAGGATCTTGAGTATATACACAATGAGACACGCTTGACTGTTTACTTGTGAACTCTTTGGGTAATTGAATGTTTGCTAGACCAAGGTAAATGGCACAGGAGGCCTCATTCTGCCTGTTTTATTGATTCTGCAGCCTAAACAGTCATAAAAATGATGTTTCTTTAGTAAACAAAGCAAGAAGATGGGAATGTTAAGGTTATTCATTTGAAATGAGGCATTTGTAAGATATTTCCTGGCCTTTCATTTTGTCCACAGGAGCCGAACATTTTGAGCCCCTTGATTATCTGTTGAAAATATCATTCAATATGCCAAATCCAAACCTTCAAAGTTCAACCTTCAGAGTCAATATTGACCTTTTGAGATCTTCCATCAATCTTTAAACACTCAGCTTGTCCTTTTTATATCTTCTTCATAACTTGCACTTTCTGCGCTGCGGCATCTTCATCTGAATATAAGAGTTCACTAACTCTCTATGGCACAATTAAATAATAAGGATCTAATTATCAGTAGTGAATTTTATCATGTTTTCTTAACTAGCACTGTTGGTGCTGATGGCCTGCTTTTCTAAGCAATCCTGATCCACATGTCCTCCCTTCCCCACTACCAGGCAGCTATTTTAGAAGCAAAAAATAATAAATACATATAAATTTAATATATAGTTCGGCCTTGGGCTCTAACTTTTTAACAGCTGAACAAGTATTTTTGGATTTCAGAAGCCAACTCAGTGTAGCTGTGTCTGAAGAAAACTCCTATCAATTACCCTATCTACTACTGAATCACTTGCTATGTGTATGTAAGGTGGTTAACCACTTGCTCAGACTGAAGAAGCTACTTGGATAAGCAGCAAATTGTTTCAGACTAACAAGAAAAAAAAGTCCAGTTGCCCTAACTCAACTTCCAGAAAACTCAACCTGGATGGCTGAGAGTCTTCATCGGCATAGTAACTAGACAGTTCATATAACCTGGCTAAGCACAACCCGAGTATAGTATTTGATAAGGGGGGAGAGGGGAGTTCCTGACCTCAAAGATTGATAACATATCAAGAGGTTGGTGTGAATTGTCTTGTTGTGTGTTCAAGCAATTGCTCGTCCAAAATATCGTTATTATTGTTTTTAAAAGGAGACTAACACTGTAGTTTGATCTGGCAAAACAAGAATGAACAGCAGGCACAGTATTCAGGTACTGGCGGGAAGGAGACAGTCCAGGACTACAGCACAGCTGGAAGGGAGCATCGGATCCCCACCCAGAACAGGTTAAGGCAAGGCACCTCCCCTTTGGGCATTAGTGTGCCTCACACTGACTTCATGGAGTGATCTGAACCACAAGACAGAAAACACAGTTTCAGTAGCAGAACATCTGGCTAATCTCACAATACAGCATTAACAGCAGGATTACCAGTGTTAAGGGAAACTGCGCAGATGTGCCCTCCTGAAGGAATAATCTCCTAATTTTCAAAACCTGTCAAAGTCATCAGGACCATAGTTAATTCTCGCAAATATAAATGTCATAAAAGCAAGCACTTTATTTGGGAAAAGGCCTTGGCGATGCTGTTCCCTTCTTTGAAACTGTCAATCATAAAAACTCTTCTTTTTCTTTTCTTTTTCTTTCTTTCTTTCTTTTTTTTGATAAGAGTGCGCTTCAAGGAAAATCTCCCCCTTCTCTGAAAATATAATCTCTGCATTTCTCTACGTATCTCGATTGCTTCTCAAATTTTAGAAGGAACTTGATCGTGTTTGGCTGGATTGGTCAGCCCAGAAATGCCTACCTCCAAAATGGTTCGATGCACATTTCTCATTTTTGCATATCTGCAACAAGCTCTACCCCGTTTTAGAAACTCCCATCCTCTATTAAGGCTGAAGAATGAACATTTGGAATTGTTCAAGCTTTTCTGGAACAAAACTGGCTATTTCCACCTTTTTCCTAGCCTTTTTCTAAATGTACTTTAAACTCTTGGCATTTGAAATATTATTGGTAGTAAGCCACCCTACCAGCAAGAAGAAGGATAATAACAGAGTCTGGCCTGAACAGTCTTTTAATCTGAGAAAGTGGAGAATTTAATTAAATACATTTTAGAGCAGAAAATAATTTTTTTCCCATATCTGTCTCCAGAGGGTTATGAACATCACATCAGATGTTATAATCCGACTCTATCTTACTCAAGGGTAATTACCTTGAAGGAAAATGATCCTCTCCAACATCCTCCATAAGCTTTGTAGCTGGATTTGAACTTGAACTTACCTTCTAAAATCAACAGTACATTTTAGATCAACCTTCCACAACTTTGGCAGCCGTCAAATAAGTAGACCACAAATCCCAGAATTCTGAGTAATGGCCATATTGGTACAGAGCGCAGATAGTTTACATTCATACATCTAGCGGGCATCCAGGTTGGGAAAGATTGCTTTCCATACATTTATTGATATGTTTACAGGATGCCACGCGTGTGCAACTAAAAGAGATCAGATTCGTGCTCTGAAGAAAATCAAATTTTAAATTCCTTACGTGGCATACCTGGAAGGAAGGTCCTGGGAGACCTGGAAGGAAAAGAGAAATGTAAAACAGTCAAAGGTATGATATATTATTCTTTCACTTACTTGGATTTAGATTCAGTTGCAGGCCTTATAGGGGGTATGCCGTGAACATTAAAAAGTCGATGTAAAGGCCTTGCAGAAAAGTTTGATTTTTTGAACAGGGGTTTTGAAAGAATCGGGAATCAATATGTTTTCACAGCCATCCCAATCAAAAGGAAGTCAGGTAGCAGATGCTGGTTGCTGCCCCATTTTATTTCTCCATGCACAATGACCTCTTGTGCATCAGTTGCAACCCTTTCTGGAACTAAGGGCTTTGCTCAAAAGTCAAATGCATTTCATATGGCACGGAGCTGACCCTAAGGACAATTTAGAAGTTGGTTTAACATGCATTGGCCCTGATATTTATGGCGCACTGAGGGTCACTCGTGCAACAACTCTACTACAAGAACTGCATTAGTTGCCACTTTGCTCTGGCCTAGGTGCAATTTCATACTTAAAGACCTATTTGGGCTAGGCAGGGGCTGGATCTCTCTCCATCTGCCTTCTCTGGGTTAAACCTGCCACCCTCTGAAATCAGAGACAGTATTAGGGCCCCACCACCAAGGAAATGCCATCTGCAGAGAACCCGAAGCGGAAGGACTGAAGTATGACCCTTCCCTTTGGAAAAACCTACCCCTGTGTATTCAGATCACCCCATCCTGATTATGCTTCTAAACAGCTCTGGGAACATGACTGGTTAGGACAGCAGGTGACAGCATCTACCTGACCTTGTAAAGTTAAGCAGGGTCAGGCCTGGTTAGTGCTTGGATAGGTCACAAGCAGAAATCCCAGTTCTATCAGCTCAACTGGGATATCCAGAAAAAGCTACCTTAAGGAAGCATGCAATAGCACACTCTTTTTAAAAAAAAAAAAAACCTGCATGGTATATGTAAAATCCACACAAGATCGATCATTCATTCACAGGATTTGTATGGCTGTCCATTTAAAAACATAACTCTGAGCAGTCCCTGTGTGGCAAACAAGTGAATGATTTCACGATACCTTTGCTAAATCAAATTTAGTTTTAAATGGTAAGTTAAAATCTTAAATAGATGGAATTGCCTAAGCAAGTCTACTTGACGCTCTAAGTGACAACACCTTGTCACAATGGCCAGGCAACAATGTTGTTTTTTCGCTTTGCAACTCTCAATTACTTTTTCTGTGTCTGCACCCACGAGGAAATTGCAAAGAGGGATGCGAGCTCAAGCTGCGGCCAGCAGAGGGCGCCCTCCCTTCCCCTCCTTCTGTCTCTCTCGCTCTCCCCCCCCCCCCCCTTTGACTTAGCATTAGCCAGCAATTTCACGCTTGGAGAAAGGCGGCGTTTGCAGAGCCCTTCTTGAGCCAGAAGCCAACTAGAATTACATCACGGGCTCAAGCGTGGAGCCGCGCAAATAAATGCAGCGGCAACCTGGTACTAGGGCCATCCTAGGGGGGGAAAGGCACGAGGTGAGCGAGTTTGAGCGGCTAAGGAGAAGCCAGTCCGGAGGATGCAACGCGGCGCTTTGCAAGGTTGCACAGGCTCGCTGTCGCGGTGTATAAAAGCTGGCCGTAAGGCCGCCTTCTAATTCATAACCCAGCTCAGCGAGGAGCGTGCCCGGTGGAGCAGTGGCCAAGCCACCTCGGATAGTTCTCCTTTGCTACAGAGAAGCAATTGAAGAGGCTCCTGCACAGAGCATCACTTTCCAGCCGCGCTTTGAGCTTGCCGCGGACGCAACGGGGAGAAAGAGGCTGCCCCCTCCCCACCTACTCCCTTCGGCTGGGCCGGCTGGAGCAACCGCCTGAGAGTGATTGCCTCCAGGACTTCGGGAGCAGCAGATCGCCTTTGCCTCCCCCCCCCCACAACACACACGCCCACGAGTTCGCTCTTTTAAGGAGAAGTGCCTGAAAAGAGCGAGTCGGTGGTTTCCATAGTGATGGAACAGAAAGTGCAGGAAATTTAAAGACGCTGGATCCTCGCGCAGCAGACAAACTGGTGCCAACGTGCGTGGCGGCGGCGGCGGCGGCTGTTGCAAACTGCAAAGAGACGGGAGCCGAATGGAAGTTTGCAGAGGTCTCTCCTGAGTGACGCGGCGCGCAACTCCTTAAGTCCGGAGACAGAACAATTGCATGGGGCACCCTACGCTTCTCGCTTTCTGCACCGGGCTGCCGAGTTTCACGATCAGCATTCCTTACTTCTAAACGGCGCTCTCTTTTTTTTTCTTTTTTTGCTGCTGCTGTTGCCTACTCACCGGATCCGAGGAAAGGCGTTTGGGCAAGGAGGCTGCAGCCGCTGAAGGCAAGCGGCAGGGGACGGACCCTCCTCTCCTGCCCCTCCTTGCTTGGATACCCTCACCTCCTTTCTCCGGCCGATGTCTCTGCTCAGGCCCGCTTCTGTGTGAACCCTGCCCCCTTTCCCCTCCATCCATCCCTCTGTCTCTCTCTCCGAGCATGGATCACCTTCGGTGGCTGGTGAGGCTTTACGCGTTGGCGGTTCTCCTAGGTTTCCGGCTGGAACAGGGCGCTTGCCAGCACTACCTCCACATCCGACCGGCCCCCAGCGACAATTTGCCCTTGGTGGATCTAATCGAGCATCCGGACCCTGTCTTCGATCCCAAGGAGAAAGACCTGAACGACACGCTGCTGAGGACCCTGCTGGGCACCCACTTCGACCCGAGCTTCATGGCGATCTCCTTGTCCGAAGATCGTCTCGGAGGGGACGACCTAGCCCAGCTGGACCTGCTGCTGCGGCAGAGGCCCTCCGGAGCGATGCCCAGCGAGATCAAAGGTCTGGAGTTTTACGACGGGGGGCTCCAGGCCAGCAAAAAGCACCGGCTGAGCAAGAAGCTCCGTCGGAAGCTGCAGCTCTGGCTGTGGTCTCACACCTTCTGCCCGGTCCTCTACACGTGGAACGACCTCGGCAGCCGCTTCTGGCCCCGCTACGTGAAGGTGGGCAGCTGCTTCAGCAAGCGCTCTTGCTCCGTCCCGGAAGGCATGATTTGCAAGCCGGCCAAATCCATGCATCTGACCATTTTGCGGTGGAGGTGCCAGCGCCGCGGGGGGCAGCGTTGCACGTGGATCCCCATCCAGTACCCGATCATTTCCGAGTGCAAATGCTCCTGCTAGGGTGGGGGAGCCGCAACGCGTGTGCGCCCTCCGCTCCAGTCGCCGCCAACGTCCCGAGGAAAAGAACAAGCCAAAGCAACACCTTGCCTCTTTTTCGCACCGAACCATCCGGCCCGCCAAGCCGGGCTTTTGGGTCGACTTCAAGACGCTACAAAAGAGATGGACGTTGGCCTCCCCGTTGAAATGTTGCACTGCTCCGGGTTGTGCAAGCCAGGCAACTTTTTGCTTTTGTGTAAAGGCGAGCGTGCGTCACGAAAGACCTGGGAGAGTCCTTGCGCGCGCGGACCCTCTGCCCTGGAAGACCACCCAAACGCCTCTGAAAGCAGGTCAGTGTCACACCGCGAACTCTCCTCGTCTGCTGTACTATTAAGAGTAGATTCGCCCGGATCATCGCGATTGAAGTTTTCTCCACCCACCTCCCCGTCTTTAATTTATATTCCAGGAAGAAGCGTTTGGAGGATTTAAAAACAAACGCTCCTCAAATCTTGGTTGTTGGATTTTTTTGTGTTTTTTTTTTTTTTTTGCAAAGGCTTTTTTTTAAAGAAAAAAGAAAAGAGGACTTTTAACATAAAACATTTTATTATAAATGGAAATATTTTCCATTCTTTGGGGGTGGGAAGTCTTTTGAGTGATTTGCGTGTGAATTTTTTTACAGACTTCCGAGGTTATTACTAACGATACTATGATGAAAGGTTAAGACACCTTGTTACTGTTGTACATAGCGGGTTTGGTGTTATTGTTTTTTTTTTTTCTTGGAACGTCTTTTATCTTCTGTACGTGAAAGAGAGTTTGCTATTTATTCTTTATATTCATTCCCTTGTAGTCGAAAAGTTCAGCTCAAAATTAAAATCAACCACTAAAAGATCAAACCCTCCTTGGATTCTTGTGGGGCGCGGTTGGGGAGGGGGGGCGCCGGCCGAGGCGGCGTGCGGCTTGAGAGGCGAAGGCACCGCCCCCTCCCTCTTTCCCAGCAGCGCCACCTTCCTTGGAAGCCGGTCCCGCCGGGTCGGATCGGCGCGACTTCCCAGCCAGCCCGCTCCGCTCTGCTTGGGAGCGGGAGAAGAACTCTGGAAGGCGCGCTGCTTGTTTGTTTGCTCGCTTCTCCGCCGCCCCGCATTTGGCCGTCGCCCCCTTTGGAAGGCGCGAGGCAGACGCCTTCGGAGAGACGGCGGCGGGAGGCGGGTCCCGAAAAGGAGGGGGGAGCCGGGTGGTTGCCGCTTTTGACATCTCATTTACCAGGAGCCACGTGTCTCTGACACCTACCCTTGTGGCCGAGCCCCGCTGAAACTCGAGCCCCGACGGCGCGTTCTTTGGCGCTCGCTGCAGACAGTCGCCTATCCCGGGCACGGCCGAGGCAGCGCCCCTCTCCGCTTATCCGCCCCTTTTCTCTTTAACCCTTTCCCTTCGGGAAGGGGAGCGCTCGCCCGGCGGGAAATTTCCCTGCCTTTCCCTTGCTTTCTCCTCTTTCCCCAACCCCAAACTGACACCCCCCCTTTTTTTCCCCAGTAAAGATGAGTCTCTTCTCCCTCATCACATCATACCAAATGACTCTAGAGAGTAGCCCTTCCAGCCTGTCCGAGTTAGTCCCCCGCTGTTCTAACTTTTGCTCTACTCTGAAAAAAATGGGACGATGTTAGCATGTTTGGGTTTGCATTGGTGAAGGAGTTTTCACAGCACCAGAGGTCTCCCGCCTACCACTAGAGCCAAAAAAGAAGGAGAGGCTCTGATCAACCTTCCCCATCAACCAAGGATGAACTGAGTCGGCAAACTCAGTTTTCTGACTCAGGAAAAAAAAAAAAAAAGTTTCATGCAAACAAACTTTCCTCTCTCACCCCGCAGAGCTTGGTACTCTGGTACTTCTTTTCCAAACCAAAATAATTTGTAATGTCATGCAGGATGCTTAAGAAAGCTCATTTTTACACATTCACCCGTTGATGTGGCACCTACCCCTGAGGTGCATAGGTCCAGTCACGTACAGAAGTTGCTTCTGTTTTAGAATTGCTTAAACAGATGTGGGGCAGTCAAAAAATCAGATATTTACATGAAGGTCTAGCACGCTGATGTCCGGCCTTTTGGTTTCCTGGCCTGTACTAATTGGAGAGGAATTGTCTCTGGCCACATTTAGTTAATGTATATAAAACACATAATAATGTTAACAGTTTTACCATCTGCTGCAGCCGCATTACTCCCCGTACCTCTGCCTAGGATTGCATGCAGCCCATGGGCCGTGGGTTGGACGTTCCTGCTTTGCTCTATTACTTGACATAAAGGGCGCACATCTTTTCTTGTAGCAGTCAGAGATACGATATTATTGCTAAACTATCCCATAAGTGCAGAAGGTATTTGAAATTGGGAGATTGCATGGCTAGCAACTTTGTCTCCAGGAGCTGGGCCTAGTGCTTTTAGGGCTAATAGACGAAGAGGCATAAATCGTGTAACCTTCTATGCAAGCATAGGGAAAGTAGAGGCACTGCCTACAAAACAGGAAGGGACTAGCACAGGATTTTGGGGGCCTGTAATTTGTTCCTACAGATGCTTGTGGAGCAACTCTGCTTTTTCTTCCTTTATCTTCAGTGCCCATAACCTACAACAGTGTCTCTCAACCCTGGCCACTTTAAGATGGGTAGACTTCAACTCTCAGCATTCTCCCAGGCAGCATGCTTGCTGGGGAATTCAGGGAGTTGGAAGTCCACCCATTTTAAAGAGAAATGCCACTCTACAGTATTCCTTTCTATAGTTTGAGAATTGTGATCCAGCTAGATCACTTTTCTTTCCAGAAAATGGTTAGGGGCATCTCCCCTTTTCCCCTTAACTTGTTTGAAAAACTAAATACTGGCTCCACTGAGGAAGAAAATTTCCACGTTAAGGCAACTCCTTTGTGGGGCAAACACAAAGATTACTTGGAGAGTTTTCCAAAAGTACCTACTCTTCTGTGGTGCATATTTATTTGGTTCCCCAAGTCAAGTTGACTTTGCTTAGCATGGGAATGACTCCCAGCAGCAGCAACCCAGGAATCCTTAGTACATTGATTAAAAGCCCTCCAGGAACTTACTCTAAAGTAAGAGAAATAAGAATGGCCCTGTGGATCAGCTTAAAATACAGTAATACTTAGGATCACATGAGCCATACAGGGTGATCTTAGGTCAAACTTATCTCCTCATCAGCACTCAAACATTAACATTAAAGCAACATGCTTTAATCAGATAACTTCCTGTAGCCTATTAACCTAAGCTGATGACTACAAAGCCTCGTGCTTCTAATTCATCAAAACAGTCAACAGTTTGCTTCCTTAGAACAAGTTGTCTCAAAGCCACGCCTCCAGACAGGCCTTCCAATCCTGAGCCTGCCAATTCCAGATGTGCAACTGGGTGCTGAGGATGCCAGATGGTGAGTGGCTGGAGGATTAAGGGGAAGTTTGGCCCTACATTTAAATATTCTCTGTCTCTTTTCTCTTACACGCATACACACCCACGGTACAGCCTTGAGTCACTGACTGGTCTATTTTTAATTATAGACTCTTGAACTCCTCAAGGGAAGTTGGAGAGCAGAAATGAAATAAAAAGAATCAATCCAATTCTCCATCTCTTCCAGGTCCAATAATTGGAGCCACCATGGATGAGTGGTTTAAGCATCAAGTATTATTGTGCCAAGTTAAAACGGCCGTCTTAGATTAGTTAAGAAAGAACTGTATATTTGAACTAAAGATGTGTTCATAGAATACATCTGACAAGTCCGAAGCATAATTGTGACATAGCATCCTACGCTTCGTTCGTTTTTATTTTTTTGTGGAGGGGTTGGGATGATTTTTTGTGTTGGGTTAATACAATGTTATTGTGGTAGTTTATGACCCACTATATTGTATGAGCTCAGAAACTGGACTAATTCAGTGGCCAGCTTAAGGTGAGTGGTAAGGACACAGCCAGTGTTTCAAGGGGAGGAGCAGTTCAAGTCTGAATCCAGCAGTAATTTCTCAGTTATTTAAGCAAGATGACAAGAAGTGCTTCTGTCCCTATTGGACTTCACTGTGTGATATAGGTGAAAATACGAGGCAATACAATGCAAGGTTAGACAAGTTGTTATTCTGCACACACACATACACACACCCCATTATATTTTATAATATGATTCCCATAATTCCTGACCTCAAGTTATAGTTACTAAGTAGGAAAGGGCAAATAATTTGGGCAAAGTCGTATTGTGGGCTATGTTCATTCTGTCCAGTTGCTCAACATACTTATTTGCTCCTTTCAAGCTACTAATTCCTCTGAAAACTGAACTTCTAAATTTTACTTCTAAACAGACATCAGGACAATTAAGTTATAATTGGTTGACTTTAGATTGTAGAAGTATCTCAGCTGTGAGTTTGGCAATGAATGCACTGTTGTTTCTTTATCCCTCTCATGTATCTTCCCTGTTATTGTCATAATATACTAAGCACGCATATTCATTAAAAACAATCTGTAAATCACTATTACAATAATCAGTGACTATGACTTTGGCATGGCAGAACAATTCTGTGCTAATTACTGTATAAATGTCCATAAATCACAACATCTCTCTCTCACACACACACACACACAGAGAGAGAGAGAGAGAGTTGCTAATGTACACAATCTAATATACTCTATTTTGTGATCATCTGGGTTTTGGAATAAGATTCAGAAAAAGTGTCACCTTAAAAAAAGCGACCTTACATTTCGGAGAATTCTTACAGATAGAGACCAAATTGGTGTTTGAGCATTTTTCTGTATTTAACTTGCAATCTAAGACCTTAACAACAAACTTTAAAAAGGCTTGTGAAAATCTATGGCTAATGACATTAAGTATAGGCTTCCCTCCTGGAGTCCTAGCCTCTTCCTTTAAAATTTTCTGATGCTGAGGCATCCTCTCCCTCCTTTCCTTTCCCTTTTTTTTACTGCACTTTTCCTTCCAAGGGGGGAGGAGGGGGGGGGTCTACGTACCTTGACTGTTGCGGGTATTCATTAACTTCATGAACAGGAACAAGGGGCACTATTACTCATATAAAGCACCCTGCCCCCTAGACTATCTAAAGGTTCATTGTAAAAGGATTAACAGTTAAAGACCTTCATCTTATGATTCTTTCATTTAATCTGAGTGGCGCCTGAAAGACATGCTGGATGGATGATCATGTTCAGAATATTTTTCATGTCAGATATCTCAGGATTTCAGGCAGGGGTAAAGGGGTGTGATTTGCATCTTAGAAAACTTTTAGGGAGTGTGTGGGGGGGCATAAACATTGATTTTTTTCAAGAAGGAAAGAGAAAGATCCATATAAAGAGAAAAGACACAGAGTGAAAATAAATACCAGTTCCAATCAAAATATGATTTTCCCCCAAGCCCAAAAGTCTACTAGTCCTACTTGTCTGAAGACTAGTAACTTCACTTTAAATATTTTGGTCTTCAAGGAAATGTTCAATATAGGCTGATGGTGTGTTATCAAAACATCCATCTTTGTCCTGTATTGCTTTGTAAAATAATAAACGGGTATGTGAAGACTGAAGGAGACAAAGCAGAGGGCACGAAAGAAGCAGCTGCATATTAAATTCTTTAGCCTTCCTCCATAAATGTGCTAGACTACATCTCCCAGCAGACCCAGCAAACATAACTCATAGTTAGGAGGGATGGGAGGTAATTGCCAAAGATCCAGAAGGACTTACCTTGGGAAAGGTGTAGGTTTGGAGAAGGTGGGCACAAGTGTTTTGGGGAGAACTATGATCTAAGGCACATCACTGAGGCCTGTTTCTTCCGCATAGAATTCTTTTGGCTGCAAGTTTAAGGGAACCACAGTAAATAGCTGAGATTAAACTGAGAAATATGTATATTTTTCTTTCATGCATGCCCATAGTATGGAGTGGTAATGCTGTACTAGGTTTTCTATACAAGGTGGAGAACAAGCTGTCCTGAGGCTGTTGCGGATGTTATTTTTCTAAACAAAATAAAATGGAAAGAAAAGAAAATACAGAAAAGTATTTGGACAAAATTCAGCAGCACTTTTTCGTGCGGCTGCTGATAAAAACAGGATCGCCAACGTCCGATAAGGAATATGGAAGAAGAAGAAGAAGAAGGAGGAGGAGGAGGAGGAGGAGGAGGAGGAGGAGGAGGAGGAGGAGGAGGAGGAGGAAGAAGAAGAAGAAGAAGAAAAGAAGAAGAAGAAAAGAAGAAGGAGAAGGAGAAGAAGAAGAAGAAGAAGAAGAAGAAGGAAGAAGAAGAAGAAGAAGAAGAAGAAGAAGAAGAAGAAGAAGAAGAAGAAGAAGAAGAAGAAGAAGAAGAAGAAGAAGAAGAAGACATAGTTCAGATGACTGGACCCTTTCATGGAATATATAATTTCAAATCTTCACCATAAAATGCATCACAGTGCTCAAGAGATTCTAGAGTTAGGAAACTTAACGATTGAAAATAGGACATGAAAAAAGAACCTATTATTTGGTTTGACCCACAGGA